GCCTGTAGGGAACAGGCCTTCAACAAGTCGAAAGGCAGGTCACGTCCGGCTGTCGAGTTTCAGGAGGGTGTGCGAGACACGTATTTCTTACTAGTAATATACATGGTCTAATATATTTTTGAAATCTTTTTGTCAAAGAGAAGCATTTGAAAACAAACCGTGTGTACTGTCGTTTTTTACAGATGTCAAGATGGATGTCATGAGAACAATGATCACTGTTCTCTTTATCGTGTTCCAAACGCTGATAAAAGAACAGCAGGCTTTAAACCTTCAAGGTAATGACTAGCATAACTGTAAAATAAGTAAGCAATTTCAAATAATAGTTGTACGCACTCTGATATTGATGAAGCCGCCTATATTGCTTTATTACGTGTTTGAAGTTATTCTCTATGAGAAAAGTGTACTTTGGTGCCCCTGAAAGCTCCCTCCTCCCCTGACTGTAAAAGCTCATTAAATCGCGGTGCAAACAAAAAGTGGATGTTTTCCATGTTTTTCTTGAAAATGAAGGTTGAAAATAATCACCGAAACGATTTCAGCGCAAGCCTTAGATAAGATTTTTCTTCATTACCGTTAAAAAGACTATAAAAGTGGAAATGATCCTCACAGTTGAATAAACAACCTGAGCGGTTGAAAAAGAACCTGAAAAAATTTAGGCCATACCCGATGGTAGAAATGACATGAATGGAAATATGTGAAAAATATGAGTCATTTCATATATAAAATAGACATACATAAAATAAACTAACAAATAGGGAAGGTGTTCAACGCCGGTATAATTGATCTAGTATGTCATTTTTTCCTTTTGAATAACTTGCAATTCTTATTTCCTAAAATGAACTGTTAAGCCCCGTGCAAACGGACGCAACATTGTTAGCCAACAACTCCGTTTGCAAGTCGCTAAAAGTTTGGCTTGTTTCAAACTTTGCGCAACAACATGCAACAGGTTGTGCAAACGTACGCAACATGACATCCAACAATGTTGGGTGTTGTTGGTCAACAACGTTGTAGTCCTTAAGCTACGCGCAAACGGACGCATTGTTGTTACATTGTTGTGTTGAAATAAGCCCGTTTTACAGGTGTTTTTTGGTAGAAATCAACGATTTTGTTTTAGATTGTCTTCGTTGTTGTTTTAAGGACATTTGGAGTCTAATTTTAACATTTTCATTAAACTGGAGAGGGTACAAATTCCTATCCTTTTTTATTACCACATTTTGCAGATTACTCCAACTATATAAACGAAAAAAAGAACGAGATAAATAAGAAGCAGGAAAGGGCCAAGGAATTAATCAATGCATTTGCTGAAAACAATGAAGCCAGTTGCCAAGGTAGGGAGAAGGATGTCCTCCGAGTACCGGGACAACTAGTCGGGACGACGGGATTTTTACTTGTTGTAAACTTTCTTCCATTGGAAACAATCAACATGATCAAAAACAACATTTTTTTAGTTATTAGCTAATACTATGCAAATACGAATAACATTAAAATTGAAATGCTCATTAGAAATAACTCCTGCTGCATTAACATTTAGGTAGTCTGTGCATAGACCCCCTCCCCTCAGGAAAAATCGGAAAAGGGGCCTCTTCTCCGATTTTTCCTGAGGGGAGGGTGGGTTTGTACACAGGCTAACATTTAGGCCAAAATCTTCTGTACAGTGATTAGCATTGCGAATAGGTACATTCTTCTAATTACGGTTGTGAAAAAAAATGTTATTTTTGAAATCACAAATTTAGCAACCCCTAAGGAAGGCCTGATACTCAGAATACCACAAATAAGTTTTAAACACTCACTTACAAAATGGCTGCGCTCAATGATCAAGTCAATCAAGACAAGGGTTTTATTAGGATGCAAAATCAAGTTGAGTCAGTTACTACTGTTTTTTAATGTACTGTATGTATTGGTGGAACGAAAGTATATGCCCAGTTCAGGCCACTTTCGCTGTAAACAGTGTAACTTCTTTCCTGAGCAAGGAAAAGTTCTTAATTTTCTTTCAAAGATAAAACATTTAACAAAACTGAGTAAAGATTTGCGATTTCTTCAAGTATCTTTAATAAGTTATTCGAATTTTTATACTACAAGCTTAAGCCTAATTCACTTTCCGGTAATGAATTATAAAGCACTGAGTCTCTTTGACACCCTATAGCTGACTTTCTAATTGTGAGCAGAGCAAGCGAAAGATTTTAACAAAGAAATAAACAGACGAAAACATAGTTAATAAGGTGAAATTGTTTCGAAGCCTGTCATATATGCATTTGTCAGGTTTTTTATTTCGATCTTTTTTATTAATATAAACGTCTCATTAATTTATTCAGTCACGATTTGTGAACAAGAAACAAAGTTGCGTCTATAACTGCGATGATCTTCTTTCATATAATTCTTCACCCCGCAGTTCTCGTATTAGTACGGTGGCTTCGCGACAAAAAAAGGACCATTTTGCGAACTTTTGAGTTCTAGCACCAAAATTAGCACAGACGTTCCTTGGGTTATGCCGGACAGATTCAGA